ATGGAATTAAACGTAGTCTCAGATGCCTGCAATCCTTAAGGAGGTTGAACTGATGTAATGTGGATTTGGGTGTCAATAATATATAAAGTGGAAATAATAGTAACAACTCTTAGATTTGTTCTGTTAAATGGTGTTTCATATATAAAGCCTTACCATAGTGCCCGATGCACAGTAAGTGCTCAATAGATGTTGCCCATTAACTCTTTGGTTAAGATCTTGTGAGCTCATATGCATCTCACTGTCCAAAGTCACTGACATTGTTATCAACAGGGTCGTTCGACTCCATTTTATCCTAAAGATATAAGTATAATTTTTTGACCAGGAAGATATTTCCCCTAGTCCCTAGTAGTAAAGATAAGAAAATAGTATGAAAGATTAGTAAATAGTGAAGGTAAGGAAAATGAGATGCCATGAAATGAACTGACTTTCCCCACTCCTGTGAGGAGCAGAGCCCCAGGAGCAAATGTGTGTTGTTCACTGTAGTAATGAATGATTTCTTAAAATTATTGATTACGTGGAGGTGAAAATCATCTGGAAGACTGTAAAATTTATTTTAATCATGTCTAACTTTGATATTAAGTCAAAGTATATATAATTCAGGCATTTTCTATACATGTTGACCAAATCAATTTCTTGTGGATTCTTTGCAGTTGTTAGACTCGGTGGTCTTTAATCTGCACTTCAAATCCATCATTAAACATTAGACTTAAAGGGGGCTTTATAGCACCCCTAATTAAACGTGCATATGTTGGGCTGTAAAGATTAAGGAATATGGGGACCAGAATAGTTATGTGACTTGGCCAGGATCAAACATGTTAAGCCATTTCAGTTGTAAGGACGGTCGAAACAGTTGAGAAGCGTTACAGAATTGCTGGCCGCCTTGGCCAGGGTTGAACCAGGTATGAACTTGGGGAGACCTACCTTCTAGGCTATGTTGTTTTCAATTTTTCTTAGTCTTAATTATCTCATTTATAAAATGGACATAAAAATACATGCCACGTCTACCTCATCGCATGGAAGAACATATTAGATAATGTAGAAAATATAAATTAAGAAACAATTTCATAATCGCTAGTATTTTGCATGAATTGAGAATTGAACTTGCTCTAAGCTAAGCCCCACTTTCTGTGGGAACTGAGTGTCCATTTTGTCTGCACGAGATAGGTAGATATAGAAAATGAGTGACACTATGAACTGATGGCTAGAATCTCTTTCTTAGGGATTTTTTGATGGTAATGGATGTGTTGGTTTGACCCTATGAGTCACACGGTGTTCTACAGTAACTTGTCACCGGCTCAGGGCAGGTTCCCTGAGTTTTCTTCTTTAACTTCCTTAGTTATGTGTAATGTTATCATTTATGCTCCTGATTTACTGAAACTCCCCTTGTTAAAATGCTATTCACAGGAGACATCTGATAGCCAAGAAGTCTTTCCAGGTCATTCAAATGAGTTTCTAATGGTTATTTTTTGAAGGCAGGAAGTCACAAATTGCCAAGAATAAAAGAACTTGAAAACACAGAGGTGTTTTCTGATCTTCAAGGCACTGATTATATTTCTGAATGGATGGCCTGATTTGATTGAAATAACCTGCTATGCATTTCTTACATTCACGACTTAGATAACTTGATTATACATTCTGATTAACAGCTGAAATAATTGGTCTGATTAGCCTAAGTATTCTACATAACTATGACTTAGAATGTGTTTTAAAAAGAAATAAACTTTACTTTCACCTAAGCTGTTGATCTTGACTCAGAGGTTACTATTTTAAGGATATCGTAGGTAGCTTATGCCACAGGTAGCCCTAACTACTCTGTGATATTAATTTTATTTCCAAATTATGACATCTAAGAAACAATTGAGACTGGAAAATTACATGGTGCATTTGTGTTATTGCAAATGTGGATGGGTGCCTGTGTTCTGTATATAATAGTCACTTGGGCTGTATTTTGTGAGGGGCTGAGAATCTAGGAGCTCTGAATATTTCCAAGGAAACAGATAACTGTCTCTGGAAATCCTCCTCATGGGCAAATACGGCCTGTGCCTCCACAGACTTTTCCATTTCTTTGCCAGTAACCATGGGTTCCCCAGGACTGTTCCAGTTCTCTTGGATCCCTCTCTTTCCTGGATTCCGATAAGACATGCTAGACTATATGTGACGGTGTGGGAAACTGTGAGAGTGTTTGTCTTTGTCTCTGATTATGTGTAAATGTGTTCAGCTTCCACTGTAAGTGCCTTGAAGAGGAGTCCCATTTTCTTCTCGGATGTTTCCCAGAATCTAGCACAGTGCTGGGCACATAGTAAGCACTCAATAAACACGTAATTAATCAACATTAACTGGGAAACCGCTCACAGTCTGGGATTCTGTTTCAAATTATCTGCAGGGTACCTCATATAAAGCCACGTGCTGATAGGTGCTTATTGATTGATTTGATTGAAACTATAAACAGAATACCCATTCGATTCTTAACTCCTGCGATGATGAGAATTTGGGCCCCTGGTCTTTTTCCTCATTTAACGCATCTGGCCCAAGCAATTTTAAATTTGGTGCTTCTAACGGACGCTGTCTGGGTTATGACTGAAAGTTACACTGGAGGAGATTCTTAATTTTTCAAGTCATCAGAAGCGGAAGAGATTAGAAAGGTTTTCAGTACAATCCTTCTCATTGCATAAAGGCAATAGGTCCATCGCGGTTAAGTGACTTGTCCAAGGTTATTTGTTCATCCACTTAACGTTGCATTTGAGCACCGTTTTATTCCGGATGACGCGGTGAGTTAAGAGTTGAGCCTCTTGTTTCCTAACTCCCCAGCCACAGTCCCCGCTCCAATCCCAACCTCAGTCTGGCTGCCATTAAATATTTATCACCCCGCTTTCCTGAACGCACATCAGGGGACTCCCGTGCCTGAAGTTTCCTCCGGGCCCCACGTAGGATGTCTGTTTCCAGCTTTATTCTCTTTACAGCACCCCACGGCAGGGGGATTTCATAACAGAGGTAGGGCACCACTTTAAAAAAAAATCTTGCTGAGACGTTTTTGAAAAATTCACAGTGTTCGTGACAAGTGAGGCGCTCTCAGCATCTCACGGAGACAAAGTGGGATTTGGGAACCCGCGTGTCGGTGGGAAGCCTGCTCGGCCGAGCGGGCGACAGCGCCAGGGCCCTGCTGGGAGGCGAGTGGCACGGGCTGGGAGGCTCGGCCGCTGCGCCGCGGCGCTCGGCTTAGATGGTAGCTCCACTTTCGGGGCTTGAAGGACACCAAAATTGGTAGCTCCTGTTAAGTCCAGGGGATAAAATTATATGCTTAGACATGTAAAACTAAGTCATAAAACTTTTTTTTTTTTTTTGGTAAGGGTGGTGACTGGACTAGACTAGTGATTGTGGATACGCTAAAGATCACGGGCAGAGGCCTCCCTGTTATTTGGGGGCTTGGTTCAGGCCCGCAGTCCCCCGAATGCCTTCAGAAGTGAGGGTGAGCAATCAGGGTGGAAGCAGAGAAATGGCACTTTGTTCCCTGGGGCCTTTGGCAAAGCCGTGGGAAATTCTTGCCTGGGTTTGAGAGAGGAACACGTCAGGGCTAGAAGGAAAGGAAATTAAAGGGGTCCCAGGCTGGGTTGTTCCCAGGCCTAGGGCCTGCTGCAGGTGAGCGAGCATGGCAGCAAGGTGGCCTGGCATTCTGTGCCATCCTTCCCCTGCCCTGCTGGTGTCAAGGACGGATGCCCAAGAGTTGTGACCTTTGACAGCATTGCAGAGTCAGGTGCCAGCGTAAGACGCCGCTGCTTCCAGCCTTTATTTATGTGCGTGCCTATTTCCAGGGGGAGCAATCAGACGTGAAGGGTGGCTTAGAGAAACAGCTTCTTGGGCTCAGCTTGAAGTGGCATTTGACCTAAGAGAATTGTCCTAGCTAATCCGAGCTTAGAAACTCTTAAGAGAGACAATCCTTGCCACTGGGTCCCTGAAAGTAAGATATTTAAAAAATTACAGAAAATTCTCTGGTAACTCTGATGCTGGCCTTCTCCATCCGTCTACTCCCCCCTCCCCGCCCCCACCCGTGAGTGCAGAAGACACAGGCGGAAAGGACCATCTGGCCCAGCACGCCAGCTTTTTATTTGGTTGCTCTCAATCCTACCTTCCTGTTTGGATCACCCCTCCCCTCTGCCCATACTTCAGAAACCAATCAAGGTGTCTCCTGAACTCATTTATTCCCTTTGTTTCAGCCGCCTTCTTGGGTAACTTTTTCCATATGCTCACGTCCTCGCCTCACAACAGATTTTTTTTTTTTTCCCCCATCCAAAATGGCCTGATTGAACTCGTAGGAAAGGCCATTTATTGGAATATAGGACAAAGTGCTTCTAAAGATCCCAAACAACGTTTCATTATTTTTGATGACCAGGATATATACATGGGGGGGTGGGGAGCATTGCTGTGTTTAAAAGGAACTGGCTGTGGGGTGGGGAGCACTGCTGTGTTTAAAAGGAACTGGCTGGTGGGCAGTGATGTGGAGTAGGATGGAATTCGAGAACACGTTGCTGTTAGCACTGAATCTCCCCCTCACCAAGTGAACTAGTCCATCTAGATTTGGAGCCAGAGTCTGTTATTGTTATTATTATTATTATTATCATTATTATTATTATTAAAATGTGGCCTTTACTTTGTTGCCCCGTTTGGCTTCAAGCCCTTCAATCTGGTGACATTAGTACTCTTTATATTGCCTGTTGTGGACCAATTTTCTTCAGCTGTTGCTAAAACTTACTAAAATGCCAGATGTCATGTTGGAAACACGAAACCTGAAAGAAGGTCATAAATCACAAAAACAAACCATAAAAAAAATAATAAAATACCCTGAGTGCCGTGCTCTGGAGCTTCCCAGCTTCAAGCCTCCTTTTGTTCGCCTCTCCCACTCCACCATGCCCCTCTCCCCGTCTCCCCGTCTCCCACCTTTTAGGGTCGGGGTGTTGGGGGCGTCCAGCAGTTTCTCGCCTGAGGCTCCATGGTTTGTTTTGCAGATTCCGAGCAGAGCACCGGTTCCGACTCCGAGGTGCTCACCGAGCGGACCTCCTGCTCCTTTGACACTCACGCTGACCTGGGCCCTGGGGCTGCAGGCCCTGTGCCTGCTGCCATGTCTTCCATGGAGGAGATTCAGGTGGAGCTGCAGTGCGCTGACCTCTGGAAGAGGTTCCATGACATTGGCACCGAAATGATCATCACCAAAGCGGGCAGGTAAGGACAAGTTCCTTTGAATGGACCCATTCAAAGATCAGAGGGCAAAGTAGGAGCTGTTCCATTTCGCCTTTTCAGTTATTCACGGTAGGTAGCACTGGTGAAGCCGAAGGCACGTACACTCACATTTTTGCATCTGGACATCTTGGCCAAGTGATCTTGTGTTTTCTGTGATTTTGCCATTTTCCTCCAAGGCCCACTGAAACCTATTCACCTTGACCCTCACCAGCATTTTTTGCCTACAAATGTATTTCGGTTAATACTGGAGATCCATGGGCTGTAACAACAGCCAAATCAATTTCCAAAGCAAGTGTTACTTCACCATCCATTGTTTCCAACAGAACAAGCTGGCTCCCCAAGCAACAGCTTGCGTTGTCTAAGGCATTTACAGCAGCCAGACGGTTTTGTAAGAATTTTGTTTTGGGTAAGAATTGGGCTTGGTTTATCTTCTGAGCCCTGTCATCAATCCATTGTGTTTTTTTTTTTTTTGTGGGCTTGAAATTATTATAAAACTTTAATGGCAACCTGGTGGAAACTCCTGACAAACTATTTATGTAGGATAAGAAAACTTTTTAAGACACAGTTTCTCTTGAAATAAACTTTTCATTAAACTACTCCTTCATTGGTGTCTTTCCGTTTTCTTGGAAGATACTGTTTTGTTAGGTATCCATTTGTGCTGGATACTCAATGTATACTACATTATTTAAAATTCACAGGAATCCTATGAGGTAGGGCATGATAATTCCATATGTAGATGAGTATACGAAGGCCAAAAGAGGTTAATTAACTTGACTAAGGACACAACTCCGTCTGGCTCTAAAACAATGGTCTCAACTATTTATAACTCTTCTCTGTTAAGAAATGGCAGTAGTTTTTGCCCCTTGGAATCAAAATGAAAATAATTTAAATAAACATAAATTGGGGCTACACTTCTTGAGTATATAGGGATAGTTCACTGAAATTAAAACAATAATGCTGCTTTCATATTCTCCAAGTCAATGTGCATAGTCGCACGTCATGGAAACCAAAAAGACCCACCTCATTGATCAAAAGCTGTCTTCATGAACACGGGCATTTAAAGTAAAAGAATATTTTGATTGGGTCCAGTTCCCTTGCATGAATATAGAGGAACTACCTAATATAGTAAGACACCACAAAAACATGAGATTAAAATGAACCTGAAGTATTGTTCACTTTCTTTCTCTTTGAGAACTGAGTTTCTCTTCTTTCTCTAAGTTTTAGCAGTGATAAAACTATTGAAAGGCTTCTTAGGAGGAGCAGCTTTGAAGGAGAATTACTTTCAATACCATCTCCTTTTTGTTGCTTGGGTTTCAGTCTACTGCTGGTCTACATTTTGAGATGTTATGGCTTGGAAGTAAATAGAGCAATTCAAAGTGTTTCTTCTTTTTCCTAGTTTCGGGCAAGAGGCTTGGTTTGGAGAGAGAGGGAAAATTACTTTTATTGTCTGTAGGATTTTCCAGTTTTTATTTTGTGTTTTCACTTCCTACTAGTGGGTCTGTGTATTCTGGTCATTTTTGTCATTGATATCATACCCTAGTTTCCTGCACTTGAGTGAATTCAGTTCACCTGGGCTCCTCATCGACCACTCTCCTGTGACCTCATTTTGTGATTTCTTCTGCAGTGTTTTCCTGTCCATATCTCTACCTTCAGAGACTCACTTTGATACCTGAATATATCCAGATATTCCCAGCACAGGTGTACAGTTTGTTCTTTAGTCAGATCCCTTTATCTAGGTTTAGAAGCTACAGTCATTGCTTCTGTATTGGACCGCCCCAGGTGTTGCTGCTGCTACATGAAACTCTGCCCGAATAACCCTGGACCAGCTCAGAAGCATACACAGAAGGCTTTTGTCTATGAACTTTGTTCACTCCCCATCCCCCCAGCTGATTTCTTCCTTCCCCTTCCTTTTCCTTCCTATGTAGTATCCTTTTCAGTTTTAATTCCAATTCCCACTTTCTTAGTGAGTGTTAGTTAGGTATGACCCTCTGTTCTCTCTCCTGCTCAGGAGAGCTTCGTCACTCTCTACCCCTCACACCCCAAACTGTGTTCCATTGGTTCAGAACCACTGCTGTCTACAAAGCTTTCAGTCTTCGAATGTAGGAACATAATCTGCAATCAGCACCATGGACAGAGGTGCTTGTAAGGATTAATGGGTTGGGTGACAAAAGAATTGGCCTAAATTTAGTCATAAAAATAAAACCAAACACATCTCATTTTGTAAACATAAAAGACTAATTTTTCTCTAGGGTGTTATGATTTCACTTGATATTCTGAGCGAAAATACTGAAAGAGAAAAAGCAACTTTTGATACATTTTTTAAGACGAGAATTCAAATATAGTCATAGAATTTTGAAGAAAGAGGGCACTTTGGAGATTATCTATCCCTTTCATTTGTGTTTTAGGTGATGGGGTTAAGTGACTTATCCAAAGTCACACAGCTCATTCATCTTAGAAGTTGGGTACTGGGAAGAGGCAGTAGCTTTTCTACTTTAGGTCATATAAATGTTCCAGATGAAACAAGTAATCAATTTATACACATTTAATGCCTTTTTTTGGAGTCACCAAGAAAAGACATTTATCTCTTTCAATGTAACAAATCTCTATAGATGGCTGAAAGGAACCACATTAAAAGAAAAATCTTAGATAGCAAGTGAGAGGACTTCCTCTCCATCTCTGGCAAGATGCTGTCCAACCATTTATACATACGGGACAATTGTAAGTCATTGTTATTAAGAAGGGGATGACTGATCTATATTTAAATCTATAGATCAAGGCTCTCAAATTTTGGGAAAGAATTAGTGTGGATCTAACCTATGCCTAAATGTTAGATTTAGTCATCATGAGTAGTCCACCATCAAATTTCATTAGCCCACCATAAGACTAAAATATAGGGCTTTCTAATTAAACTTGTGAGGGTAGAGGAAGAAAATATAAATATACCAATAGAAGCTTCTGAAAAAGTATAATGTGGGAAAGAAAGAACAGATATATTATTCTTTGAGAATATTTAAGAATTAGCCATCATTTCTGTTATAAGGACTGTGGTCCCTCTTGTGCTTTCCCCAAATATGATTATGATGTCACTGACCTCCTCCAGAGGACATGTGCTCTTTGAGTTGCTTTTGTTGGAATGTGTCACTAGCACAGAAAGTGCCTCATATAAACCACCAGTGCACATTTGCAAGATGGCTGTCTCGGGCCAGGGTATGGTCTGTGGCCATGAAATGAAGCAAAGCCAATTAGGCCGTATGTGGATCAAGCCTGTGACCTTGACCTCATTAGCACCGTGCTCTGCCCAGCCCAACTAAATGGCCCCAGATGGTAAAACTTAATGTAGCACTTTGTGCACAAGTACCCTAACGGAACATTCAGGGCAACCCAAAATTTTGAACCGAGCACCTTTCATGTCTGGCTCCTAAATGAATGACATGCAGAAAGAGCTTGATGTTTTGCTGCTTTCTTATGGTTAAAGAAGAATGGCGAGTTTTATTCTAGACTCCTTGAAACCCAACACCTCTTTGGGCTGCCCCTCTTCAATTATGAGAGTAGCTGTAAAGTGCCATATCCTGACCCCGCTTGCTTTGGCAAGTTTAACAAGCCGTTGTGGTAGAAACAAGGTACTGCCCCGCGGCCACGAGAATTCATTTGGCATTCGCTCCCTATCCCACAGGGTCTTTCCTCTGACACACATGTTGACAGCCTGAGAACTTGCAGAAATTTTTCTACAGTTTTATGCATTAAGAAAAACAAACACTTTGGTGGCCCTTTGTTTGGGAGTTGGTAGCACCTTCCTTGTTGTTGTTTGTTTTTCTTGAGACATTATTTTTAGAGCTGTGATTTTCAAATAGACTCAGTCAATCAGAAATATTTTGTGATCCGCAACAATCAACTGTGATAAGCTACTTGGAGAATAAGACAATTTTAAGTTATTCAAGTATGTTAAGCATAAGTATATTCAAGAATGTTATAGTCTAATAGGAAATGTATGTGTGGATATATACATTATCTATCTATCTACCTACCTACCCATCTACCTATCCATCCATCCATCCATCCATCCATCCATCCATCCATCCATCCACTATCATCTATCTATCATCTATCTATCTATCTATCTATCTATCTATCTATCTATCTATCTATCTATCTATCTATCTATCTATCTATCATCCATCCATCCATCCATCCATCCATCCATCCATCCATCCATCCATCCATCCATCCATCCATCCATCATCTATCATCTATCATCTATCATCTATCTGATCACAGTTATAAAGCAGGGTATCGAATGAACCATTTGAGTGTATGAATCACCAAATAGGTCCATGTAAGTTAAGAAGAGATGCTATTTCAGCAATATAAGTCCTCAGCATATTTTACAGTGATAATTTCCAAAGTGGGAAAAATCAGCCAACTTTGAGAATGAGAGGACATTGGACTTTGGTGTGCCTAAAGCGCCTAATGACAAGAGACTTTCCGAGCTTTTACTCCTGCTACTTCCCCCCTCTGATCGCTCAGCTTCCTGCTTTATTTCCCTTCACAGGAGGATGTTTCCTGCCATGAGAGTGAAAATCACTGGTCTGGATCCACACCAGCAGTACTACATAGCAATGGACATTGTGCCTGTGGACAATAAAAGATACAGGTAATGAAGGACTCTGGGATGTGGAATTGTGGGTGTCACTAACATTCCAGAACTACCCCTTCAGCTCATTCAGTGAGTTTAGACAGTGCACTTGTATAGGGAGTAAGAATGGGGGGTATGCCAATGGCCTGTGCCAGAGACCAGGCAGGAAGCAGTCACTAGAGGCAGGAAATCAGGGCTCAGTAATAGTTGGGTCTGGAACCCCCACTCTGCCTCTGCAGAGAGTGGGATTGTACAGTGTCTGCCAGGGTAGCAAAAATCAAAAGTCTCAAATGAATTCAGTTAACATCGGAAGTGACTAACATATTGAATGATTTGGTTTATGAAACGCTGAGTTAAATGGTTGATTTTGGAGAGGGAAGGAGAAGTGGACCAGTGCAGCACCTTCAGTGGTGGTATATTTGAGGATTCCCCTGTGGATGATGGAGGAGAACAGGAGAACGGAGCAAGACTCAAGACGGACATCTAGTTAGGAAGATTTACTATCCGCTAATATGGGTGGTGAGTGACTTTATTAACTAATTTTCCTTCAAAGCCATGAAAAGCCAACACAGTCTCTGTGTCTCTTGGATGGCCCACATGTAATTCTTGTCTGAATCAAGTTGTGACTTAATTGATCTCTTGAGATCTCAATCCAACCAGCAGAATCATGGCTTATTTTTGAAATGTCTGAGAACTTGGCCCTGCACCCATGAATTTGGAGGAGAGAGATGAATGGCAAAGACCAGGACTAGTGCGGTAGGGCGAGAGAGCTGGCCAAGAGAGAAGTGGTCTTGACTGCAGGACTTCAGAAGGGAGAGGCTTCTAATCTGTTGGAGAGGATCTTGGGAGTTGAGATTTGGACTGAGTGCCTCTGTTTGCCAGGTCCAGGGCCCACTTGCTCCTCCTTTACTGAGAAGCAGGAAGTGTCACATCCATGGCGAGCACTCTTCAGAACTACAGGGCAATTGGCAAAGTCTAGAAAACCTCCTTTTCTACCAACAGCCTCTCATTTCCAGTGGCTTTGCGGGAAAATAATGTGGGAGATGATGACGCTCAAAACGAGGTTCATCAAAGAAAACGCCAACTGGGAAGGCTTGAGGTTGTTTGTGGGGATAGTGGCATTAAGGCAAAGGCCCTTTCTTTTCATAGAAATGCCTCACATTTGAGATCCTTGGCAAGGAAATGGTTAACAAGTGAGCTGCTTGGAGGGTCTCTGCACATGGCTGTGTTTTATAGGACAATATGGAAGATGTTTCTAATAAGGAACCAAATCCTGAACAAGTGGCCAACGGATTATATGGTTTGCATTTGGAAGGTGAAAGGTTGCAGTAAAATACCTTTTCCATAGCTGGCCACGTGGGTTCAGGATGCCTGTGTGCACACAGGGGTGCAAGGCACAGAGGGGGAGAAGAAAGGAAAATGACTGTGAGAATGTTTTCCCTGTGAGAGCTGCAGCTTTGATCATTCACGACAACGCTTCTCGGCTCCCCCTACCCAACCCG